TTGGCCCATTTGGTTTATTGTGATTCTCTCCTATTTCTGATTTCAATGAAAAACCATTTAAAAATAGCTTTGGACTGCACTGGTATTTTCCATATCGTAATCAGAGCAAAAACTAAAAGTTACAAGCCTCCCCAAGAAGTATCTGCATTAACTCCTGATAGGATATGGCCATTTTTATCTATGATTATTGCAGCTAATTTTACATTGCAATAGCCTAATGAAAGTTTGGTATGTTGATATTGGTCTTTGGACTGGTTCTGCAGAGCATGTTTTAAGTGTTACAGCTCCTCCCCTGCCACTATGCAAAACGCTAAAGAGACTTAAATTTTCAGGTGCAATTTAACCAGCACTGTTCTAGTTAGAAATCATACTTCCTCCTAAGGAGTCAGTAGTGATTATAAAACTATGTGCTAGTTTCTTAAGAAGGTAAAGGAACCCAAGGACAATTGAAGTTGGATCATTTCCTGATTGTGGCTATATTTTTGTGCCCTTCACGTCCCCGGTGTAATCTCTTAACTGTTCAAAGAATTCTATTTCCTTGGTGCCCCCAGCCCCACTGACTCCCAGCCTCTTCCATGACTGCTTTCCTGCTTCCTCTTTTACATTCCACTCACTCCAGAAATGCTCTGTGCCCCAATATGAAGGATGTAGAGTGCAGCAGCAAAGAAAACTGCAAATAGTCCAGTTTAAAAAGATAATCTCTCTCTCCCTAAACAGAAAACAACCTTGACCCTACATCTTCCTCCACAGCTACCTTATTTCTTTGCTCCCCTTTTCAGCAATACTCTTTCTTTTTAAAGATTTTATTTATTTATTCATGAGAGACACACAGAGAGGCAGAGACATAGCAGAGGGAGAAGCAGGATCCCCACAAGGAGCCCGATATGGGACTCCATCCCAGGACCCCAGGATCACGCCCCAAGCCAAAGGCAGACGCTTAACAGCTGAGCCACCCAGGCATCCCTCAGCAGTACTCTTGAAATACTTGTTCTTATTCAATGCCTCTATTTCCTTTCTTCTCAACCTTTCTGGAAACCACTATATTCAGCTTTCTTTTTTTTTTTTTTAAGATTTTGTTTATTTATTTGAGAGAGAGAGAGAGTGAGCTAGAGAGAGCACACAAACAGGGGGAGCAGCAGGGAGAGGGAGAAGCAGACTTCCCTCGGAGCAGGGAGACCAATGCAGGACTGGATCCCAGGACATGAGCCAAAGGCAGACACTTAACTGGCTGAGCCACCCCGGCGCCCCCACATTCAGCCTTCAGTCTCCACCACTGCATCAAATAGGTCTTGTGAAGGTCATCAGTGTCATCCACATTACCCAGCTGAATGGTCAAGTCCTCACCACCCATAGCAGGTTAGCAGCATTTATACAGCTGATAACTCTTACTTCATACACTTTGTCCACCTGATTGTGCGACGGAATTATCTCTCATCGTGCACCTCCACCTGAATAGCTGTTCTCCTCTGCTTTGCTGGTTCCTCCTTTTCTTCCTGACCCGTGATTAGGGAAGAGCCCCAGGGCCCAGTTCTCAGGCTTGTTCAATCTATAATTGCTCCCCAGGTCATTGCACCCAGCTATTCAAAAGATTACGTTCCACATGATGTTATGGAACAAACTTCAAGATATATTCTTAAATGAAAAAAAAGATAAAAGATGGCAAGCTGGATGTATGCAGGAATTTGGAGTGACTAACAGCACAGAGATACAAAACACAAAATAAGCCAGAAGTCACATTAAAGAGCTGACAATGTAGCCCCAACCAGTGATGTTTTTGCCAATTTAACTGGAGGCAGTTGAAAAGATGAATAAGACATACATTCCACCCTCCAGAAATGTATAGTTAGCTGGGAGGAATGAAAAATACACAGGGATAAACTAAGGAAGAAAATAGATGTCACCAGGGAAACGAGAATTAGGATGTATGAGAGCTCAAATAAATAGAGCAGCTTTTAAAAGCTTGAAGAAGCTGAACTCTTTTATTTTTTATTTCATGTTTTCAAAATAACATTTCCTAATTGTCTATTATCAAACTAAAACTTCTAGAGTTTTCTGTCTCTTATCCATGCTACTCTCTATATTCTCAATTCCCTAACTGGAATGCAAAAATCTATTTAGAACTACTCTTCTGGGGAAGGTTGGGTGGCTCAGCAGCTGAGTGCCTGCCTTTGGCTCAGGTTGTGATCCTGGAGTCCTGAGATCGAGTCCCGCATCGGACTACCTTCATGAAGCCTGCTTCTCCCTCTCCTTCTGCCTATGTCTTTGCCTCTCTCTGTGTGTCTCTCATGAATAAATAAATAAAATCTTTAAAAATAATAATAACTACTCTTCTGGGGCACCTGGGTAGCTCAGCTGGTCTGACTCTTGATCTCAGCTCAGGTCTTGATCTGTGAGTTCAAGCCCCATGTTGTGCTCCATGCCCAGCTTTAAAAAAAAAAAAAAAAAAGAAAAAGGAAAAAAATAACTACTCTTCCAACAAACCTTAAGAACCCAAGAAAAGGGCAGCCTGGGTGGAGCAGCAGTTCAGCGCTGCCTTCAGCCCAGGGCCTGATCCTGGAGACCCTGGACCGAGTCCCACGTCGGCCTCCCTGCATGGAGCCTGTTTCTCCCTCTGCCTGTGTCTCTGCCTCTCTCTCTCTCTCTCTTCTCTGTGTATTCTCATGAATAAATAAATAAAATATTTAAAAAAAAACAAAAACATAACTTAGGATTCATGTTTGCAGGGAGAAAAGAACTTTATGTCATTTAATTAAGGAGAAAAGGGTCAAAATACAGAAATAAACATGTTGGTCACAAGGAGAAATGTAGAGAGGTTGCCCCAAGCTAATAGATGGCTTAGGTGCCACCCGGGTCTTTCTGATTCCAAAGCCCGTACATTTTCAATGTTACAGCCTGTCTCAGATATAAATGCAAGTTTAAACTGACTATAAAAGAAGGAAAAAATTACCAAGGAAGAAGAAAACATTTAATTTACAAGAAAGAATGTATTGTTGGTGGAGCAAGTCCCATGGAAGAATTAGAGAAACATGAATTTCAAGAGGATACATCCACAAAAATGCTGTAATGAAAACAGGCTGAATGATTCTCATTTCACTGCAGAAAGATAAAGACTGTCTTAAAAACAATTGCCCCATTTTTGGTCTTTAGTGAAATTATTTTCTTTTACTTTCTATATCTAAGAAAAAATGATAACCACCTCCCAGTCTTGATTTTTGCCCAATGGGCAGAAAAAAATTAAATCCAGAACTAGATAGATCTCATCCTGGCTGGAGATTTTTATTCCTGCCCCCTGACTTCCAGTCTCCAGTTTACCCACTGATTCCCCTCCTACTTCACTCTCCATTTCACACATGAGTCACCTGCTCCTGCCCTCATTAAAGAATGTCTGTTAAGCCTAATCCACATCAATCTATGTCCTTTCTTATAACTGCCAAGATGCCAGTTTTCTTTGAAGTTTTCCTGGACCTAATCCCACAGAGACAATCAGAGGATTTGATTGATGTTCTGACTAGCAGCCATTGGGTGTGAATATTCCTATATGGATTTTTATTTTCTTGTTTTCATGAATATACATTCAGTAGTCCCCCCTTATCCACAGGAGATGCATTCCAAGACTGAATGCCTGAAGCGCAGACAGTACCGACCCATATATGGACTATGTTTTTTCCTATACTTACCAACCCAGGATAGTTTATCAGTTAGGTAAAATAAAAGATTAACAACAATAACTAATAAAAAATAGAACAATTATAACATCATACTATAATAAACATGTGAATATGCTCTCTCAAAATATCTTATTGTGCTATACTCATATTTCTCGTGATGATGTGAGAGGATCAAATGCCTACATGATGAGATGAAGTAAAGTGAATGACGCAGGTTTTGTGATGTAGTGTTAGGCTACTATTGGCTTTCAGAGGATTCGTCAGAAAGAGGATCATCGGCTTGCAGGTCATGGTAACGCAAAGTGCAAAAGCGAAACTACACATAAGGGGGGGCTGTTGTACTTTTTTAAAAAATTCCTTACAACCAGGTATCCAATAAATGTCACAATCTCACTGATTGCCCAGTTTAGTCACAGCTATCCAGGAGACAGATCATAGATGGTAGATAGATGATAGATGATAGATAGATAAATAGATGATTGATAGATAGATGATAGATAGATAGATAGATAGATGATAGGAAGAAATTGAAAGAATGCAAATGTTAACCAAACTAAACACATTTTTTTAAAAAATATGGAGTTCTTTGAGCTTGGTGATGATGCTGTTTCAGTCAATTTACTGTATTACTCTGAGAACAATTTGCCATAAACATCAAAGTAATGTTGTATGCTTTTTTCTCTTTTCTCCAAAGAAATGCACAGTGGGATATGTAAAATGTCAGAAATAATTAGACAAAATCGCACAATTTCATTGTGACACTAAAATATCTTTGGAGTTGAACATTTGCTATGAAACTTTAGAACAGTTTTGAAGTCTGCTTATTATAAACAATATAATTTTTTCCTTAATGTCCCAGAATTTCTAAATATAATACAATGTAAATGTAGGTTTCCAAGTAAAAAAAAGTTTTATGTGTAAATGCATATATATTAATAAATATAAATAAGGAAGTAATTCAGGAAGTAAGGCAAAATAGACTTTAAAGTTGGTAATATCTTCACGAGAAAGACTTTGGAAATTTAACTTTTTAAGAAGTGTCTTTTTTGTAGCTACACTTGTGGTTAGCACAGCATAAGGAATAGACTTGTGAATCACAATGTTGTATACTTGAAATTAAGGTAACATTGTGGATCAACTATACTTCAATTTTTAAAAAACGTGTCTTTTGAAGAATAATGTAAAACTGAACTTCATACCCAGAGATAAAAAAGAAAATTATATCAAAAATGTGTAAAGAAGAATGAGTACTGAAATACTATAACATTTTGTGGTGGGGGGGAGGGGGATGTGGCTTTTTCATTCATTAACCAGTAGCATACTATTTTCCAGGAACCCTCAGAAGGAATGCTGTGGTACTTCCCTTTACCCATATAAAATGGAACATAAGAAACTACATAGCTGAAGGAACTACAGTCTTCTTATAAATGAGAGGTTTGAAGTCTAAGTAGTTTCCAGCTGAGGGAAAAGAACCAGCTGCCTCTCCACAGTGTAGATTGAAACAGGGTAAACATGAATCTCACTAACTGTACCACAGAAGCCAATGTGGCTGTGAGACCCAAGACCATCACTGAGAAGATGCTCATTTCCGTGACTCTGGTGATCATTACCACCCTGACCATGTTGCTGAACTTGGCCGTGATCATGGCCATCTGTACCACCAAGAAGCTCCACCAGCCTGCCAACTACCTGATCTGTTCCCTGGCTGTGACAGACCTCCTGGTGGCAGTGCTCGTCATGCCCCTGAGCATCATGTACATTGTCATGGACAGCTGGAAACTAGGGTACTTCATCTGCGAGGTGTGGCTGAGTGTGGACATGACCTGCTGCACCTGCTCCATCCTCCATCTCTGTGTGATTGCCCTAGACAGGTACTGGGCCATCACCAATGCTATTGAATATGCCAGGAAGAGGACCACCAAGAGAGCTGGGCTGATGATCCTCACCGTCTGGACCATTTCCATCTTCATCTCCATGCCCCCTCTGTTCTGGAGGAGCCACCGTCAACTCAGCCCACCGCCCAGTCAGTGCACCATCCAGCATGACCATGTCATCTACACCATTTACTCCACACTTGGAGCCTTTTATATCCCATTGACTTTGATACTTATTCTGTATTACCGGATTTACCATGCAGCCAAAAGCCTTTACCAGAAAAGAGGATCAAGCCGGCACTTAAGCAACAGAAGCACAGATAGCCAAAATTCTTTTGCGAGTTGTAAGCTTACACAGACTTTCTGTGTGTCTGATTTCTCCACCTCAGACCCTACTACAGAGTTTGAAAAGATCAACACCTCTATCAGGATCCCTTCCTTCGACAATGATCTAGATCACCCAGGAGAACGTCAGCAAATCTCTAGTACCAGGGAACGCAAGGCAGCACGCATCCTAGGACTGATTTTGGGAGCATTCATTTTGTCATGGCTGCCATTTTTCATCAAGGAGCTGATTGTAGGTCTGAGCATCTACACAGTGTCCTCTGAAGTGGCTGATTTTCTGACGTGGCTTGGCTATGTTAATTCTCTGATCAACCCTCTGCTCTACACAAGTTTTAATGAAGACTTTAAGCTAGCTTTTAAAAAGCTAATTAAGTGCCGAGAACATACTTAGACTGCAAAAAGCTGAAAGACATTGTTTTCACCAGCCTCGTGAATGGACAGAGGAAAGGGGCTCAACTTATTAATTCTTGAACACAGTTGGTTCAGGAAAGTTTGTAAGTTCATGTGGTCTTTCTGTTTATTTGTTCTGTTTTGTCTGAGGTTTGTTATCTGGTGTGCAGTTTTCTACCTCTGGCTTTATTTGTGGTACACGATTTCAAATAAACATTATCATATAAAGACAGAAATTTCATAGAAGTAATAATAAGGTGAAATAGTAACTACTTTTTTTCAGCCATTTCAGTTAAACCTGCAATTAAAGAATGCCAAAATGAATCTTCATTTGCAGAATTTCTTATTACTTATAAATCAAATATCTGACAACTTAACCTCGGGTGGCATTAAATCTGAGGTCATGGTTCCATATGCGTGCAAATTTTAGTAGGAATTGCATGACTACATAAAGCATTAATAAAAAAATAAAAAGTGGTGTGCTGTCATCTGCTTGCAGACCTGAGCTAAAATCATTTACTGTGACTACATAGCCCACTCCTTTTAGGCACAAATAGTACAGCTGACGTGTCCTTTTTAGTTCAAGATTCAATATGCTTCCTCATTCTCCAAAAAGAACCTGGAATGAATACTCTGGCACTTTCTTAGGTCTTTGGTTATGAATATGGAATATAAACAAATACATAATAATCTAAATCTCCTTTGGTCCATGTGTTGCTATATACCTGATAGGCACATTGGACATTCTCCCATTCTGATTGGACATTCTCCCATTCTGAGAAGAATCCCACCGAACCTTGCACACATTCCCTCACTCTAGCAGGATTCAAGTGGGAGTACAAGCAACTTAACAGGGTGGAGTGATCCAATGAAGGAATATATTATCTAAAGAATTTTGTTGGAGAATATTCCTCATTAAATTACCAGTTGTGCACTTGGAAAAACAAATACAAGTGGAAATTCTGTGCTTACCACCAAGGCCACCCATTGAGGAAATTAGCATTAAATTGTATCCCCTGGGATCTTGGTGGCTTCATGCCAGACTGCACCCTGGGCCCAGGAGGCTGAAGATGGGACCTGATGCCACAAGTGCCTCCCCTGACCTGGAGTGACTGTTTCTCACCTCTTGTCCTCTCTCATCCACAGCTTCTCCCCATCTCCTCACTCTCCACAGGTCATCTCTTCTTTTCACTGAGAAGACATGGATTTGCTCCCTCCCTACCTCCTTGTTATAGCCTTAAATCTGTGCCCTCTAACTTTTTCTGTAATCTTGCATGTTTCTCCTGACCCCTGATTCCTCTTCCCCACTGTGCCCCTCCTCTCTCTCCCTCTTCTCTTCTCTCCTATCTCTCTTCCTTTCCCCCTCCCTTTCTCCCATCCCCTCTCTCTCCCCACTTTTCTTTAATCTCCCTTATCAGTTTGCTCAAGTCTCTCGGACACTTCTCTGGCCCTACTTCCCACTCAAGTGTGTGCTTCCTCTCCCTCCTGGCTCCCCCACTTGAGTTTCTCTACTCATCAATCTTTCATCCTGCTCACCTCTCACCTTCCATTGACTTTCTGACCCTCTGCCATCTGTGTATGCCTCTCCTAGCTCTCCTGAAACAGATCTCCCAAAGGTCTTGTTTACTTGACAGTAGGCAAATATAATGGCCTTCCTCCGTCCTTATCTACTTTGCCATTTCTCATCAGTTAAAATAGGTAAGTCTCTCTTTCTCATTGAATCCCGTGACTTCCAGAATACTTTACTCCCCTGGTTCTCCAGCCACCTCTTTATTCTTTGTCTCCTTTTCTTCCTTCTGTGGCATTGTCCTCAGCTCTTACCTCCTGTACCTCCATATTCCATCCCATCCTATCACATGCCTGTGGCTTTTCAATTTGTGTCTTTAGTTCTGATTTCTGTCTTTCTCAGACCCACGACTCATGAATTACATCCAGTGAACATCTCCCTGTGAATAGTCTGTTGGTTCCTCAAAGATTTTCCAAACTGAACTCACAATCATTTTCCCACACTCAAACCTCCTCCTTCCACCTTCCCAGTCTCAGATAACAGGATCACCATGCTTTTTATCATTCATGTTAAATAAATGTGATCCTCTCTCTTTATGGCTTGTCTTTTACACCCAGACAATCTTGACGTCTAATCCATTTACTTCTACAGAAATATTTAAATATGCCCCCTTCTACTCCAATAATTTGGTCCCCTCACCCGTTCCAAATCTTATCTGATCCTACCTCTGAAGTCCTGTACCAGCAACTCTGCCCCCACACACCTATCAGATACGTCTTCCTAAAACGGTGGTTTTCAGAGTGGCAGCTCCAGACCAGCAGCATTAGCATCATCTGGAAATTTATTTAAAATGCCATGTCTAGAGCCCCACTGAAGACATGCTGAATCACAAATTCAGAAAGTAAAACTTCTGTTTTAATAAGCCCTCTAGAAGATTCTAGTTTGACAATCACTATCCTCAAGTATACCACTGGTTTTTAATTATAGTACTCATAATCCTCACTATTTCCCCATCAGTTTAAAATAAGATTCCTTAGTATAATAATCAAGGCTTCTTTACTATGTGACCTTTACTATGTGACCTACTATTACCTTTCCAGAGTTGTGTCTCAGGACTTCTCATCTACCTCATACTCTAGAAAAGTCTGGATATTTTCTGGGTTTTCTGAGCTCATCTAACAGTTGATCCCACTGCTTCAGTAACCGGATCCCGTGGCTTTCCATTCTTCTCCTACCAATTCTTCATGCAATCTTGCAGCTAAAATGCAATCTCTTCGCTAAAGTCTTCCTGAGATATTTCTTCCTTCTCTGTCGCTATGAAAGTACCCTCTCCCATCTCTATGCTCCCGTGGAACCTCATTTCTATCACTGCTATTATATGCATCCTATATTATAGTGCATTTGTTTGAGTATTTCTGCTGTCTCCCCTAATAGATTGTGAGCTCCTTGAGGACAGGAACCATGTGTGTTTCATCTTTGTATCCCTAGGGACTCCTACAGCGTTTTACACAAAGTAGGCACTCAATAAATGTCTCTTACTGTGAATGAAATTATGGTCCTGGAAGAGAAAATGTAAATATGCCATCTTCTCCCAGTAAGAAAACCAAAGTTCTAAAATCCCATGGTGCAATACTGACTTTCTTTTTCCCCAAAACTTACCCTACCACTTCCCAACGTTGTTTCAAAAACTGCTAGAAAAAGCTTCCATATGGAAAGAAAAAGGATTTCCTGTTGAATATAAATGAATATACTTTTTTCATTAGGATTCAGGCTAGGCTGCTCTAAAACAAGGGCCCCCAAATATAGTTATTCAAACCAGATAGTTTCTTTCTCCCTTGTGTGACAATAAAGAGGTAGGAGGGCAGCCCAGAGTGAATTGGAGACTCTGCTCCACAACATTATCCAGGACAAGATGGTGCTGCCTTCCTCCCAGGGCTTGTTCTCATCTGTATGACCAAAACTGACTCACCATCACATCCACATTCCAGTCCATAGGAAGTAAGAGAGAAAATAGAGAGCAGTGTCCTTTTAAGGAAGTTACGTGATCCACATAACTTGTACTCCATAGCTTGTACTACATTGTCAATAATTGGTCACCAAGTTGTAAAAGAGAATAGGACAGTACATCTCTAGCTGGGCAGCCATGTGCCTTGCTAAAATTGAGGATATTATAATAAAAGGAAGAAAGAGAATGAATACAAGGGAACAATGAATAGTCCACTTTGAAGGGATATTGATTTCTGTATGTACAGCTCTCATATCTCAGGCAAGTCAATTAGCTACCAGCTCATGGTGATCTATGTACGAGGATGTTGAGATTTAAATTATGGGTGTCCTTACTAAGATTACATTTATGCTAAAAATTCATTATTTATCATGACTATATCCTAATATCTAGAAATTATATGAGCAACTCACTAGCTTTCCCATTATCTTCCATATATCATCATTGAAAATTCTTGGCGATTTTAAGCATTTTAAAATGTTAAAAGTTTGATTAAATAAAAAACAAAAAGCAGATGCATAAGTAATTTTCACTTACTCATTTTTACTAACTCATTTCCAATTTACCACTTAGGTCCTAATTATTTTTTTTTCAGATAGGTCCTAATTAAATGCAATTCTCTCACACCTACCTTTGCCTTTAGAAAAGAAGAATCTGTATCTATTTCCTAGCATAAATCAAACCTGTTGGAAAAAAAATCTGTTGTTTGGTTTACTCATTTAACCAGTAGTACTAGCTGGTATTGACCATCATTGCTGCTCTCAATTAAAACTTGAGTAAAGTAATGGTTCCTTCCATTGACCAAAAATATGGTCAATTTTTCTAGTGTAAACATTAGAGGATTAAAAGTTAACCCCAGGGGTGACATTTCAAACACTCTCACTAACTAATAAATTAGTACTTCCTGATTTGTGTACTTGGTGAAAGAATTCTTAGATATAAGTCACTCTCTTATAGACCTAGTAGGTGTTTGGTTATAGCTGGTAGCAGTAAGGACCGCTATGAGCATTGATACCACTATCTGCTTTGGATAACTGTATAGCCTCGTATGCTTATGAATTTCTTTTTGCAAACTCTAATATGCAGATACAAGGGACACAATAAAATGTTTATCAGCAAGGAGGAGCTATTGGTGCTTCAGGGGACTGACTCATACCCTTATTTAATAAAAAAGACTTTCAGAGGCTAAATATGGTCTCACCTAAGTCACTTTAGACTTAAAATTAAAAGAGAACCTCAGGCACTTGTCACTTGAAGGAGGAGATATTTCAAAAGGTAGGGAGGATAACATTCGATGTTCCTGGGATCCTTAAATTATCCAAGAGCCCTCCTCTCTCCCCACAAACCCCGCCTTGAAAAATACACAACAGGTTTCATCCTTGCCACAAAAATGGTTTGAAATTATTTCCTTCAGAATAGAAAAGAATCACTATGAGAAGAGAATTGTTTCAGAAACATAAACTGTCAACTCCCTGGAAGCTCCTAGCACCTAACACAGCGTGGTGCATGGTGGCATTCAACTTACATAATTTATATGTCTGTTGGATTTAACTGAAATGAACACATTGATTATAGATCTCAAGAATTTAGAAATAGAACTATGTTGTGGGTAAGAAGGGAACATTCCTACATGGTAGTGGAGTTGTCGAATATTTTTTTTTTAAAGGAAAGGGGGCATCAGGACAATGATGATACAAAAGAAACAGCAACATAAGGAGTTGGAAGATAAT